GAGCCGGAGCCGCAGGGCCCGCGCGGCCGCCCCGGCAGCACCTACCTGCAAAGCTCTTTGACGGTGCTCACGTCAATGATGCGGTAATGGAGGTGCCTCATGAACTGCGGCATGTACTTGTCGAGGAATTTCTTATCTGCGTGAACAGAGTTACCTGCAAAGACACAGACGCGGCGCTCCCTCAACGGCAGCACGGCGCGACCGTGCCCGGCACCTGAACGAGAAAGGGGCCGCGCAAGCTCAGCGCAGAGCACAGGGCGTAGGAAGCTCTTCGCAAGCAGCTCGTGTATCCTGCTCTCAGGTAAATGCGAGTATCGGGAACGTGTGTCAGGGTGTCCTTCCAGGATCACACGTGCTCTGCACACCTCATTCGTCCATTCCGTTCTTCAGCTACTAGTGCAAAAACTACCGCCGGGCACGTCAGTAATTACAGCAGAGTCGCACAACGGTCCGGGTTTGCAGCCGGTGAGGATGGGCACCAGCGCGAAGGCTCCCGGGCGGCTCCGGGCAGCCCATTCGCTCCCAGGCCGCCCGCAGCGCTTCCTCCCCATCCCCATCGGAACTGCGCGGGGAAACATCCGCCCCGAAAAGCGTTCCCTGCATTGAGAGGAGCTGCAGGATGGGCAGCGTGGGCAGCAGCGCGGCCGGCCCTTTGCTGAGCACGCAGCCTGGGCGCTGCACCGAGCGCGTCTCCGCGTGGAGCTGCCGGCGCCGCTGCAGCACGGACGGATCAGCAAAGTGACCGCGGTACCTGCGAGGGGACAGAGCCCCGGCGGCGTCTGCTGCCGGACGAAGGACAGGAACTCGTACTCGGCCTGCTGCAACGAGATCTTGCTCTCCTTCACGGCCTTGGTCAGGCCCGACTGCAAGAAAGGGCCAGAAATCAAACACACGCGACCACAAGGGATATTTCCACCAACGCTCAACAGCTAAAGATCAACTGTGAGAATGCTGCTGGACAGAAACGCCGCGTCAAACACGCATCGGGGTCCCAGGAGGCAGAAAAGCTCCTTCCTGTCTTTAAAATAGCTAAATGTCTCCCTGGCAAAGGTGCTTTAAGTGTTCCCAAGGATCGCCTTCCATGCGGTTATACCATACCTTCCTACGACCGTGCCGCAAAAATCTGCTCGAGGGATCCAAGAGGCGAGTAAAACATTCGTGACGCGGTGGCCATTTCACCTATACCTTAATTGCTGCTCTTTTCTTAGCTGATTAAGAACCAGAAGCTGCGCGGGAGCAGGGATGGCTTCTGCCACCCTCTTGTGCTGTGAACGCAGCCGGGTCCGAGTGCTCCGCTGGCGAGGAGGCCGCGCTGCCATTGCGGTAAATGAGTTTCTGCATCCCAAATTCCTGCTAATCTTTCCCAGGGAGAGCAAGACGCCCAAGGCGAGGCAGAGTGTTAACAGAAGTCTTAAAACTTCAACACTTCATTGAAAACTACCTTGGATTTCAATTCATAACCACGGAGTGGAAAATGCGTTTGCTCCTTTGCTACTGGCAAGTAGGAAGCTTTTCTTGGTGACTGAGGGGGATTCGAAATAAAATAAAACCTCGCGCTGGCAAATTCAAGCCTCTCTGCGGAAAGAACGAACCCGGTTTACAGCACTAAGGGAAAAGTAAATAAGAGCCCATATGTTTGCCGGGAGCCGGCCCGCGTAATGGTGACGGTGACGAGCAAAGTTGCCGCCAGCAAACCGTGGGCTCGGGCCTGCCCGACCGCGACGGGGCCACCGGGCTCTCGGGCGGCCTCCCCTTCCCCGTGCGAGCGCGGGTACCTTGCCGTGGTGCTCCTTGCACCACTCGGACATGCCGTCCAGGAGCTCGTCCGGCTGCTTGATGATGAGGTGCGGGCCCTGCGGGGACACGGCGTGAGCGCGGCCGCGCGCGGCCCCACGCGCGGGCGGCCCCACGCGCTCACCTCGGCCAGCACGTTGAGGTCGCAGTCCGTGATGAGACACGCCATCTCCAGGATCCGGTCCTTCTCCACGTCCAGGCCCGTCATCT